TTATTAAGATTTTGCTTTAGGCCTCCGATGAGGTTGGGCCGCCCCTGGGAGGGAGGGAGGGAGCCGATGGTGTATCGGAAATAGCCTCTCTACCTGGGTAAAGTCTGCGTACACACTACCCTCCCCAAACCCCACTAGTGGAATTATACTGGGTTATTGTTGTTTGTTGTATTTTATTTGACTAATTAATTTTAAAATATTTTTAAGCAATAATTAGTATTTGATCAAGCTTTTAAAAAGTATTTTTTTTAAAAAAAAATATTTTAAAAAAAAGTATTTTAGGAAAAAATTACTTTTTTCTACTTATAAAAAATTACTTCTATTCAAAAATATTTTCTTACCTTCTAAAAGTCTGATCCGACATATTGTTTTTAGAAAACAAAATATTTGTGACAAAAAAAAATAAATAGCCAAACAGATTACTAGTCGGACTCATAGTGGGGCCATTTTAGAAACCCACCAGCACAACCACATAAGAGTATAAGTTATTTTCTACACAGCACCCAACGGTACAGTCGGTATAAATTCAAATCAAATTATGGAAATTCTTGACGAACTTTAACGTTCTCCTAGGAAAAATTGTATATTTGGTTCCCTACATTAAAGGGATTAAATTAGGACTCTACTATGTACCAAACACAAAACAAGTTTTATCATATGAAAGAAGATATACTCAAACCTTAAAGCAGTGTTTATCTTTGTCCAGTTGGGAGACACAAAAGTAAAGGTAAAACACACATCCCAACTTTTCTTGTCTGTAATCAACTGTTTTGAAGTACTGCTTCTGTCTTGTGGCTGTGAGTTCTTCACTACTTCAAATTTACCAATTTTTACTCGTTTCTTTTAATACTGTTTTTTTTTCTTCATAAAGTTTGAATCTTTTTGTATTGAAAGATGTGTTCTTTTCATGCCTTTTGAACTTCTCCATCACGGGTCTTCAGTATTCGACCGTCTTGCTTTTTTGATACTACTCTTTTTGCAGGTTTTTGTTTCGTATGTTTTTTTTTTTTTTTTTTTTTTTTTTTTTTTTTAATATATTTCTCTAACACTGTTTTTCTGCATTCTCTTTTTAAAGTATAGTTTTGAGTTATTGGTTCTTTTGGTTGTTGGAAGTCTTCTAATTTCTTTTGAAGTGAAGATTTTTGTGGGTTTTACAGAGGTTTAGCAAAGGTTTGAAGGGGAAAGGACAGAGGAAGAGGAAGCAGAAAATTTGAGTTCTTGGAGTTTCCACTACTGATGATTGGTTACATGATGCGTGGAATATATGTGAAGATTTTGTTGGTATTTGCAATTTTTGCTGTTCAAGATTGCAAAGGGTTTACTGATCCTCGTGATGGTAATAATAATTTCTCAGTGTTTTGAATTTTGTATACTTCAACTAATGGTTACGATGTGTGTGTGTTGTGTGGTAATGTCTCAATAATTTGAATTTGTTACTATCATTTATGTCATATTTTTGTGAAGTCACGGTTGGAATTTTTATGTAAAAAGAAAAAGGATAAGAAAGAAATTAGGTGAAGTTCATGATTTTTTTTTTCTTGCTCTGCAGTTTTTGCTATAAATAGTTTGTATACAAGTCTGGGCTACCCATTGCTTCCTGGATGGGTGCCATATGGATTAGACCCTTGTGGTGATAAGTGGCATGGTGTACTTTGTGTCAACTCCAATGTAACTGCAATGTAAGAATTCTCTCTCTTTTTCCTTTCTTGTGTTTCTCTCATGGTTATATGACATTTTATGATAGATTTCCTTTTTTTCCTTTTCGGCAGAGTGCTAAATGATTCAAATTTGGGAGGTGAACTAAGTGAGGGCATAGGAAGCTTTGCTTCAATCATACAAATGTTGGTGCCTTGTTTATCTTTATGGATGCAATGATTTAATTCATGAATTTCACCTTGTCATGCTTTTCTGGCTTTAGCTAATTCCTATGTGTTAAATGTCTACACTTTGTGTGTTGATAAAATCAGAGATCTCAGTAACAACCATATTGGTGGCAGTATACCATCCAATTTGCCTGTTACCGTCAAGACCTTGTAAGTTGTTAAGCTTTGTCCTTGCCAAGCTTTTTCATCAGTTTATAGGTTATTAGCCCAACCTATATCCACATTTTTATCCTATTATGGTATTTGTGTATATATAGGTCTCTCTCAGGTAACCAGCTTACTGGGAGCATTCCAGACACCCTATCCTCGTTAGGGCAATTATCGGACTTGTAAGTTTTATTTACTTGACTTGTGTTGATATTCTTTTTTTAATGACCATATTTCTGTTTTCAGTACAATTATTTCTTTCCATGTAGGTCACTGAACAACAATCATCTTAGTGGAGTTATTCCAGATGCCTTTCAGCAGCTTAAGACTTTGATTAATATGTAGACATACTTCTTTTAGCTTTTAACCTTTTTCGCTAGTGATGAAGTTCCATTTTCAGTGCTGTTTATATTTATCCCTTCATGTTCTTATTCTGCAGGGACTTATCTGGGAACAGTTTAAGTGGTCAGCTGCCTCCTTCGATGGGGAATTTGTCGTCACTTACTACCTTGTATGTATTTCTCCTTGTTGGTATGATAATCAGGGGAAACTACTTTTCTGGGGAGTGCTATCTTCTTTGAGACACTGAATAGAAGTTCAAATATGTCCTTAATTCCTTCAGAAGTTGAACAAAAGTTTCGCTCGTACATATTTTAAAATGAGAAGTTTTATAAAGGTAAATATAGTTTGTGTTGCATATGGAACTATTGTATGGTTCTGCTGAGTGTTGGTTCGTCCAGATGTCTTTCTTGTGAAGAGGCTAAAGGATTGATATTGAAAAATGCTTTGCAACTGGTTGATTTTGTCTAGTATCTCAATTTGCAACCACTAAAATTAATAAACTTGAATGGTATCCGGATGTTAACTAATTGCTGAACTGAACTTGTGAATGTAGTATTGATTGTGAATTTTATACTCCAGTTTTGAGTATTATGTTTGGCTATTTGCAGACACTTGCAGAACAATCAGCTTTCTGGGATCCTGGATGTTTTGCAAGATCTTGCTCTAACAGATTTGTAATCTTCTCGACTAATAGTTTTTCCATCATTATGGATAATGCTTTTAACAATGTCATCATCTGCTCAATGTTGTGCTTATAATTTGGTCTCGTTCTTGTTCTGCAGAAACATAGAGAATAATTTGTTCTCTGGGCCAATACCAGCAAAATTGTTGAGCATCCCCACCTTCAGGTAAAACCTAGAAATTTTGGCCGTATTTATTGAGTTTTCTTTTAAACTGATTGAAATTCATTTCATTCAGTCTTCAAGTTCTGAATATGAACTGGAGTATCTTATTTCTCTTTGTTTTTATTTGGCTTCATCTCTCTGTATTTTATCCAAAAAATTTGAAGTTTCTTTGGCTAGAGATTGCACTATTTAGATCTGAAGAGATTTAATGTAGCTGTGCTTGTAATAGATTTTTCTGGGCGGCCGGTATAACTGCTGTTTCTCATGAACTGACAATTAGACCAAGAGTAGTTAGATTAAATAAATTGGCACAGTTGCTGGAAAAGGGGTAAAAGTAGCAAACTTGAAGATATGACATGCAAAGATATTACTGATATGCATGGTCTTTTTGATGAAGACTGCATGCATGTACCACCTGATGAATCACTCTTTAATCAATCAATCAACTACCTGCAATCCTAAATTAATTAGGGACGGCTGTAGTAATCGTCTTTATTCATTCTACTTTATGCATCATCCTGTAAATCACTCATAACTTTAGCTAAATTCTATTTTCTGCGAGAATGATCATAGATAGGTGGTGTTTGCCGTGGAAACTCTTTAGTTTTTTTTAAAGACCTTTTTGATAAAACTAACAGTCTTGATCAATTTGATTGGTTAGATTGAGCTTAGAATGGCTGAATTATCAACATGGCACATTTCTTGATAGACTAGCCTTAGTCATGGCTTTAATAGTCAGTTGGTGCACTTTAGGGGAAGCCAATTAGGTTAGCTTTTTTCTTGTTTCATGAAAAGTTCTTTTTGCATACTTATTAAATGTGGTTACCTTACATGGTGAAATCTTTGTTTTTGGTCAGACGTGCAGGCAACCCCTTTAACACTACTATCATCCCTTCGCCCGTGATATCGCCTTCTCCAGCACCATTTGCGGTGCTTTCTCCAGATGTAGCCCCTTCACTGCCATCTACTGTACCATCGGGCCAAGGATTACAACACTCTGGAAGGCAAAAAAGTAGTAATTCAACCAAACACGTCAAATTTATTGCTATAGCCGGATTACTTACCCTTGTCATACTTGGATTGGGTGTTTGCCTTTTGATGTCACGATATTTAAAAAGAAGAAGACAGACCCAAAAAGAAGCCAAGAGGCATCATGCATATGCATATAGTTCACCCAAGGGCACCCCTAAACATGATCAATCCGTGCAAAAACCTTATTATGATGCAGAAAAAGGTAAATAGTACATTTGTGTACTTTCTTCTTATGGATTTCTGTTTATCATTGCTTACTTATTGTTCTTAATGGCATTGTGATGACAATATGGATATGTCCAAAAGATGCAGGTCTGAGGCCAGGGACTGGAAATGGGAAAGCTCAGGGTAGGAACATCTCACTGAATACTTCAGAGGCTGTGCAACATAAAGGCATGAAGAGTACAACATCATATACAGACAATGATCTCGATTCGGAGATGGAGTCGACCATATCTGATATTCTTCCACCACCGCCACCACCTTTTCTTTCAGCTCTTTCTGCTGAGAGGATGGTTGTAAATCCAATTTTGCCCCCAATTACATCAGACAGACATGCTAAGAAGAATGTAAATTCTGCAGAGTTCTTCACCATTGCCTCTCTTCAGCAGTATACAAATAGCTTTTCTCAAGATAATCTTATTGGAGGAGGCATGCTTGGCACAGTCTACAGAGCCGAGTCTCCCAAAAAAGTAAGCATCTTTATGTTTCACCAGCTTCACATCAGTAGATACTGTGTGACGTCTTCAGTTTCATTTCACCTTTTTAAGGTGGAAATTACTCGTTATTTGTATTAAAAGCATGGTTTTTGGTGGTAGACATTTCTATTTACATTGTACTGAAGATGTTTGATTGGCCCGTATTCGTTTGATTCGAGTTCTGCATAGTAGTAGTAGTCCAACCTTGTAGATGGCAACAGTTTCTTTTTGTAGACTGTAGATATACCTAACACGCCTCTTGATGTTCTGAATTAGTTTCCTGCTTTCCCATTACCTACTTGTATTCCTCATGTTTGTGTAACCTATTTAGTTTCTGTCACAACCAAGAAGGAGCTGACATTTAGCTATTTCTTGATGTTCTTTATTTGTTAGCTTTTGGCGGTCAAGAAACTGGATACGGCTGTGACCAGGCGTCAAAGTGATCAAGAATTTGTTGAGATGGTGTCCAATATATCTAGACTTAAGCATGAAAACATTGTCAAACTTGTGGGTTACTGTTCGGAGCATGGGCAAAGGCTACTTGTCTATGAGTACTGTAGAAATGGTACTCTCCACGAAGCATTGCACTTAGATGATGAGATCCACAGAAAACTTTCCTGGAGTACTCGTGTACGCATTGCACTTCAAGCAGCAAGAGCACTAGAGTAAGTATGAAAAAATACTGAATGATACTAGCTTTTAAGCGCTTGTAACTTGTTTTAATGATGTGTAGATATCGATTCTGCTGGTCAAGTGCCTGTTAACTCACCTCTGCTTGTTTCCGGCTTAAATCTTTGCTGTCACACAATTTATTCCTGTAGCACAATCCTTAGCTTGTAATCATTTAGGGATTGAGTTGCTTCTTGCTGTTTCAATGAAAAGGTACTTGCACGAAGTTTGTCACCCACCTATTGTCCACCAGAACTTCAAGTCCGCTAATGTTCTCCTTGATGATGAGCTTGCTGTGCGTATGTCAGATTGTGGTTTGGCACCTCTGATGTCATCTGATTCTACAACACAGGTGATCCATAAGTTAACATTTCTGATGATTAGTTGATTGTTTGAAAATAGAATCTGGAATCCAATTTCACATCTTCCCACAAAATAGAAACAATTATAATTGGAGATTCTAAAATAGAATCTGGAATCCAATTTCACATCTTCCCACAAAATAGAAACAATTATAATTGGAGATTCTAAAATAGAATCTGGAATCCAATTTCACATCTTCCCACAAAATAGAAACAATTATAACTGGAGATTCTTGGTACTTATTCTGAATTCATAATGGGCATGTTAGCCTTTTGGTATGTGATCTTCATTTAACTTGTAGTCACTTCTTATTAACTTTTTTAGAAACTACATTCTTCACTTCCTGGTTTCAACCAGCCGCCCCATTAATATGAAATTTTGGTGCTAAAGCATGAATTAGCTCCTAAAAGTTGGTGCAATCTGTTAGAAAAGATTATCTGCTGCTAATTCGATGGCTTAAAATGAAAGGACAAGATCTGGTGTTTCTGCTAATTTTAGTTGGAAACAAAAGCTGACCATCTTATAATTTATTTGTGGATGAATAAAGTGTTGATGACTTCAGTGTAACTCTTAGTTGCAAGGATGCGGCTATGGTGCTCCTGAACTTGAACTGGGAAGCTATTCTTGTCAGAGTGATGTTTATAGCTTTGGAGTTGTTATGCTAGAGCTTCTCACGGGAAGAAAATCTTACGACAGGTAAAGTTTGTTTCGACAAATGTATTTGAAAACTTTTTGTTATTGTTGAAACTGCATATACAATAATACACGTATTGACTTTGAGCTCATTAAAATATGATTTCCAGGTCCCGTCCTAGAGGGGAGCAGTTGCTAGTTCGATGGGCTATTCCACGGCTGCATGATATAGATTCACTATCTAGAATGGTTGATCCTTCCCTAAATGGTTCTTATCCATCGAAGTCTTTGTCTCGGTTTGCTGACATAATTTCCTTGTGTATTCAGGTTAGTTTCTTCTTATATAGGTTTTTCTTGTCCCTTTGATGAAGTGTTAACATTTTACTTACAGTGTTGAGTTCTGTGTGAGAGAAACTTTACTGGTTACTGTTCATAAAATGAATAAGAGGCTCTGATCCAGTTAAATTTCAGGGTTTTGATAAATCAGGGGCCAAGTATAGCAGTAGATTACTGACTCTGTTTTGGATTCAATTAATAAGAGGCTCTGATCCAGTTAAATTTCAGGGTTTTGATAAATCAGGGGCTAAGTATAGCAGTAGATCACTGACTCTGTTTTGGATTCAATTAATAAGAGGCTCTGATCCAGTTAAATTTCAGGGTTTTGATAAATCAGGGGCTAAGTATAGCAGTAGATCACTGACTCTGTTTTGGATTCAATTAATAAGAGGCTTTGATCCAGTTAAATTTCAGGGTTTTGATAAATCAGGGGCTAAGTATATCAGTAGATCACTGTCTCTGTTTTGGATTCAGTTACTTCGACGTAGACTGCATATAACTATGAGGAATGGTTTATAGAACGCATTTTATTTTACCTGTAGCATTTTGCTCTCTTTTGGTTGATAGAATTATATGATTTGTCTAACATAAAGTTATGAAAGCAATAGTTAACTCCTTAATAATCAATAACCTTGGGAGAATGATGTTTTTGATGTTAAAAAGTTATATGTTTGATTTCAATTTTTCCCTATTTGATTAAAACTTTTTAATAAATTGAAATTATGAATTTCTTACCAGAAACAATTTTTGGGAAGACTAACAAATATCCTCTCTTAATAAACAATCAACAAATATTTTCAGAAAGTGAATAATTTTAATTAATTATCTTTAAAATCATATACATAATTAATTGGAATTTTTTTTAGAATCCAGACCAAGCAGGCTAACCATTGAGATTCCTGATGTAATATGATGAACTTTGTTTAAAAGTTTTAATCAAATGGGGAAAAAATTGTTGATGTTACTAGCCCTACCGGCTTAGGTACTCCTGATGCTCTCAATGAGACGTCACTCCTATGTAATGTCACTAGTTAAGTATTAATAGTATTTCGTCTTTTAACCAAAAAAGAAATGATGAACTTTGTTTTCTGCTGAAGTGGTGCGATAACCATTATTGACAGTTTATGACTAATATATATAATATAATATAGCTGTATTTGTATTTCGTCCTGTCTTACTGATGTTGTAACTAGTCCAATGTGAAGGTGAAAGTGGGAAAGGTTTCAGTTTACGATCCCTGCATAGTATCCATTTTTTATTACTGAGATTGGTATAAGAGTGATGATATCCAAATTATAACTTGTATGGACCATTTTTACAAGGATATGTCCAAAAAGGTCATTGCTAATAGAAATTTCAGAGTGGTGATAGTTGTTTGGTTAATCCTAATAAATAGAAATCATTAGTTACTACAAAATTGTTGTTCTCCCAAGATATTTTAGTCCACTTTCTACTTGCTCGGCTTGTTTTCATGTTACCTGGTCAAGAGAATTGACAGAGCTACCTATAAGCCTTGAAGCCAATAAATTAAACCGAAGTCTAACAAAGCTGGCGCAGGAGTGATCAAAAGACCTATTATTTGTTTTCTGTTTTCTTATACCATTCAACTTCCTGTCTAGAATTCTGCAATTAATGAAATTCCTAGAGATGGGAAGTTAAGGAATTCCGTTTCTTCAATATTTCATGTTCCTTTCAGCTCAAAGTCCAACAAGAAAACAAGCTCTAATGTTGGAAGATCAGAACAAGGTCATTTGAGAGAAACCTCTTTCTAGTTAGTATTAGCTATTTAGGCTGAGTCAATCTTAAAATCAACTCAATCAAGGAAGAGGATATTCTTAAGCTATGCTAAAAGCTAAATTGCCACTATTTTTGGTAATAGGCTTAAAATTGCCATTTTGCTATAGCTAGAAAAACATAGTGAATGTCTGTGATTGAAGTTTTTCAAGCTGTCGGCTTTCGCTCATGTCCTTTCTCTTTGTTGGGCAGTCGGAACCTGAATTCAGGCCACCAATGTCCGAAATTGTGCAGAATCTCCTGCATATGATCTAAAGATGTCATCAAGGCAGCAATGCAGTGAAGCTGCTCTAGTAGAGAAAACTAGCAATGCTGTTTCCGGCTAGTATCTTTTTAGCATCGAGGGATTTCAAGTAGTTCCCAAGGAGAAATCTTTACACTACATTTTCATTGTGTGCTAACATCAGTAATGTACTGTAAATAACACTATGCTGTTAAGTTGGTTTATGTGTGATTCTTTTTTACATCTCGATGAGAAAGAAGAAAAAAACGGTCATTCTTTTAACCTCGCCTTAGTGTAATCGAGGAGTTTGTAATCAGAAAGTTGTGCCTGTATATGGTGGTAACCGTATGTAATATATTTCCTGCAAATTCTTTCTTTAATATCTTGTAATCACTCGAAGCACTTGTATTATTTACTGTGTAGCGGTTATCTCTGTTAGAATCTTAATAGATTCTATCTTTTTGTTTAATTTTCTGGGAAGGTGGTAAGTGGTAACAAGTTAAAAAGTTGTAGTGAAAGAATTCCTTGGTGCAAGGCAGTGTTTTCAATTTTCCTGGTAACTTGGTTAATCTGTTGGAACTTGGAATGGTTAAATTATACTGAATTATAAAAAAGTTTGTATGAAACAGAGGTCATAACTAATATATCAAAAGCATTTTAGACAAGGTCATCATTCTGTGGTCGTTTAATGTAATTTTGGATCTCTTGCTAAATACTGCCTATTAAACAGTTCGTTATGTAAATAGCGTTAAATTGAACCCACTTTTATTTAGCGTTTTCCATGAGTGTTGTTTATTTCAAAATACGCATATTTCTCGGATAAAATGGTAAAAGACCATTTTTATATGCCTCTTTAATAGAGACTATCTTATATTCTGTTCTAATTATAATAAGGTATAAGCAACTAATGATTACCAAATCTTCTCAGCTTAATATTAGAACTATTCATCAGTTTCAAATGTCTACCTTTTGTGTCGAAGGAAAGGAATTTTCAATGTTTTCTCTCTCTCAATACTTCTGTATTAAGGAATGTGGTGTGATGGTTGAGAAACCCTCCACACTGTAAGTCTCGGGTTTAAACTTTGGGAATGCAAACTTTTTAGTTGGCAATACCTTTCTTTTCTCAAAAATCAAGCGCTTGTAAGATGGAAAAGGAGTGTTTTTAATTGTGTAAAATTAAAATAAATAAAAATGTAATAAAAAGGCAGATTCAAATAAAGAATGTGAATCCTATTAGCATTATGCAGAACAGAGAAATACTTTTAATTAGTGATTGGAAGATATGTGCTCATTTTCTGCTTAAGAATTTTAAAAGATTCACATTTAAGAGAACGTTAATTCTCATTTATAACAAACTCTATTAAATGGGTGACAAATCTTCTCTTTTGAACTTCATAAAAGTTATTATAAAGTTTTTCTCTTTACAACAGTTTGCTTCTTGGAGATTTAACTTTAATTTAGTTCAACTCACTTTGTTACACATTCCTTTTATTTAAAATAATAAACACTTCAACGGTGAAAAAAATTAATTAAGCAAATTTAAAAATTGTGCAGGCTCTCATACTATAAGGGTGTTTACTGCAATTATCAAGACTTCCAATATAAAATGGAATGAAGGAATATTTTTTGAAATTCGTTCTCGTATCATCAATAAATAAAATTTAATAATCTTTCAGAAGAGCCCAAATAAAATAATTTAGCCAAGCTAAGAAATTTGTTCCCTTTAACTTTTTTCTTTTCGGAAAAGGAAAAAAGAAAAATAAGGGACGAGAGAAGATGGAATATCAGCTGCAGTGCAGGACTTGTCACAGTAAGTCTTCCACGGCGTCGTTTTATTCTTCTCCTTCTCCTTCTCCTTCGCGTCTTCTGCAAATTACAGCTTCACCAATTACCCACCCAGGTTCTCTCTCTTAATTTCTCTCTCTACTTTTTTCTTCATTCACTGTTTACTCTTATTCATACTTCGTAGATAAATGTATAACAAGAGGTAGTTACTGATCTTCCTTTACTGTTAAAGAACTGTTATTTTTCACCCTAATTTTTTTTTTTTTGATGAATTTTGAAACTTGACCCTCCATAATTCGCCGCTAATGTAAGGCTATTATGACTTTTTTCTGATTATAGCTGAAAATTGTCCCCGAATTTGCTTGCATGCTTTTTGTATTTAAAACAATCTCTGCCGCAGAATTTGGATTCTTTTGACATGATTTTTTTTGTTTCGTTTTACTGAGAGATGGATTTTTTCTGTTCTTTAATTTTAAATGGGCGAATTGAGCAGAATGCTTAAAGAGCATTGATATTACTTTGCAAGTATTAGTTTTCTGCAGGGAGGTGAAAAAGATTTAAAAAAAAAAAGGTTTTTTATAGAGGGAGAGAATCTATGTATTATCTTTCCCAATAATTGGCTAAGCTAAGAGAATTACTTTTTGAATTGGCTGAAGTCATTCCTCAACCCGGAGTATCTCATGAAATCTGTCCATGAAGATCAAGAGCTAGGTCGAATTTGAAAGGCGAGGAGAGATTGATCCCTTAAGTTTTATTCTTAACCATAGAATACGAATTGTGAACCAGGTTGCAATTTTTATTTTTTCTAGTTCTTTGTGATACTCTGAGATTAGTTTGGTGTTCTTATTTTGCTTTCTATGCGATGATTTTTTTTTTAGATGATACACTAGTGTATCCCTCATTATTACTAATCTATATTCTGAACGTTCTCTCATGTGAATGGGAGTTAGAAAGACCCTGAATATCATGAGTTTTCATGTGAATTTAGCTAAGTGCATAATACAATGGAAACAAAGAATCCATATAGGCAATACCAACTCATAGGGATTAGGGCTTAGTTGTTGTTACACTTACTTTAGGCTGGTGTTTGTCAGGAGTCTTTACATTGTTTATCCATGTAGGATAAGTGTGAGATTTATAGGAAGAAACTTAGGAGATCAAGATTGCATGTCATTCTTGTTCATCTATATAAAATATTAAGCAGCCTGAAGATGCACCCTACAGAACCTTGTGGTGCATATTTATGCATTATACTCGCTGCATTGTTGTAAATCTTTCTGTAGATTTTACTTAACTTTAATAAGCTTTTAGTACTTTTAAAGTTTTTGTGGTTTTCAAGTCCATGTAATTTGATTCCTCTTTCTGTTTTCCTGGCTACCTATCTTGTGAATGTTCAGGTTGTTCATCATATGGTTTTGGATGATAATTTAGCATCTTCACTTCATATTGCACATCTTGATGGATTATACACGATCATCCTCTGGGCCTGGTGAAGATAACATCGGGATTCCTGATGATTTGCGGTGTAAGAGGTCCGATGGGAAACAATGGAGATGCACTGCAATGTCTATGCCTGATAAGACTGTGTGTGAAAAGCACTACATACAGGCTAAGAAGAGGGCTGCAAATTCTGCAATGAGAGCCAACATGAAAAAAGGAAAGAGAAAATCATTGGATGAAAATGATGTATATTCGGAGAGTAAAAGTGATGATATGGATTTACCAGATGCGAACCAGAAAATTGAGGATTATTCTGGTGCAGTCTCTGGGAAGAGGCATAAGGAAAAGGTGTCAAAGAATCGGATGAGTTATTTATCTGAAACACCTCAAAGCAAGATGTTTTTAGTTCGCAGCATGAAGTCTGCTGATGATCTAGACATGGAAGGTATGCAGTATGATGAAAGCCATAGAGGTTACAGGACGCCACCCCCTTCTGGTATGGAGTCATCCAGAAGCAGATCGCAGAAGATGTTTGATTCAAGTCCTACGACGGTGAGTTTGAACTCATGGTTGAGTATCGCCGGGAATGAAGTTACTTTAGGAAGTGGACAATTGTATTTTAGTAAACCTGAGATTATTCTAGGACAATGTGATGCAGGGAAAGTTCATTAAGTAAAAAAATAATTCTAGTTAAGATAATAAATTGTGGTGATCTTTATGTAATCTGCACATTAAGCTTTATGTAGACATATCGCCTAGGATTCAATTAGAGTTTCTTAGACCTGAAATTTCATTAGCTTTCCAAGTATCATAAGTCAACAGTCCGTCATTGTTTTTTCTGGTTGTCTGTTGTATCCTCACTTGGGCTCCCTTAATTTTTGCCCCTAGGGAACTTCTGAAGCGAGCTCAGATTCTTCTGATAATACAGGGGGACAACGTTGTCACCAGTGTAGGCGGAACAATCAACAAGTAACTTGGTGCCTTAGATGTGATAGAAGAGGATACTGTGAAAGCTGCATCTCAACTTGGTGAGATTCACTAAAAAGAGTAACATGTCTAGTTTCTCCATTTCCCATGCAGTGACTACAGTGTTTAATGTCAGGTACTCCGACATGCCTGTTGAAGAGATACAGAGGATTTGTCCTGCGTGTCGTGGTAGTTGCAATTGTAAAGTGTGTTTGCGTGGAGGCAACTTGATAAAGGTATTTACCTATTAGGCTAAAAGAGCTTTACGTGAGGCATTCTATGGTTTTGCTTAATATTTATTAAGTATTGCTTTCTGATATGTGACTCATTATTGCTGTGAGCATAGGTTAGAATAAGGGAGATATCTGCACAAAACAAACTGCAGTTTCTCTATTCCCTTTTATCAGCAGTTCTTCCAGTAGTTAAGCACATTCATAATCAGCAGTGCTTTGAGGTAGAGTTGGAAAAAAAACTTCGAGGTATAAGTATGACCTTTTGCATCTTTATTGAGGTATAGGGGGACTCCAAATTTGATAATGGTTGAACTATGAACTGAATTGTATTCTCCAGGAAATGGAATGGATCTCGGCCGGACCAAATTGAATGCAGATGAGCAAATGTGCTGGTAATATTTTCAAGTTAAAAATTGTTGCACTATTGCCCATTCCTGCTATTAGGAAATGTGCACTCTCAACCTCTTCTTGACAAAATATATATCACCAAGATGTTTCTGCTTGCAGTAATTTCTGCAGGATACCAATTATTGATTACCATAGACACTGCCCAAATTGCTCATATGACCTCTGCCTCAGCTGCTGCAAAGATATCAGAGATGCAACCAAGGTTATTCAGGAAGACAGGGGTAAGCAGTTCCCAGGAAGAGTTGATGGCAGAAAAGCCACGTCAAAGGAAGTGAAATTGTCAAACGTTCATCTAAATTTATTCACCAAGCTTTCTGATTGGAAAACAGATAGTAATGGCTACATACCATGTCCACCGAAGCAATATGGAGGCTGCAATTCCTCTGTCTTATCATTAAAGCGAATCTTTAAGATGAATTGGGTGGCTAAACTGGTGAAAAATGTAGAAGAAATGGTTAGTGGCTGTGAAGTATGTGATTCTGGTGATCTAGATAATATCTCTGAAGGGAAGTTGTTCCAGGCTGCTCATAGAGAGAATGGTGATGATAACTTTTTGTACCATCCATCTTCTGAAGATATTAGAAGTGAAGGGATTGAGAAA